AATCACACCCCTCCACCCCCCTTCATGAACTATGACCAGATTTTATTTGTACTGCTGGGGAAAACTCAGCTCTGTGACAGAATTCCTTCGGTTGTATGCGGCAATGACTAACATTTATCAAACGCTCTTCCAGGTGCTTTACTTCACTTAGTCTTCACTACCTTCCCAGAAACATACTGTTACTAGCCCCATTCCACAGATGAGAAAACTGAAGCAAAGGAAGATGAAGTAACATAACTCAGGATACCCAGGATAAGTAGTAGAACCAGGATTTGGTAGTCAGTTGATTCTAAGAGCTTGGGCTTTTAAGTGCCACACTATGTCCAGAAGGTGGTATTTAAAGTAAATGGACTTATAATACTGAGTGATCTATCACAGAAACAAAGAACTGAGTATCATATGTTCTCACTCATAAGTAGACCTTGAACAATGACCATAATACTATAATAAAAGGATTGGCAGTAGCGGGAAACTGCCAGGGGTTGGGGGAGGCGTGATGGGCAGTAGTGGGAATCTGCTGGGGGAGAGTTGGGGGCATACCTCATCAACAAGGGTAGCTGCATAATGAACATTTGTATACCTAACCCTAAACTGTACCCCACATCTTTAAAATATAAAAATTAAAAGTCAATAAATAAATAAAGTAAATGGAGGTAGCTACTGATGATAGCACCACATTATTTTAGCAGCCATGGGACCGTTTCTTCAGCAATAGGGGTTCTAAGAGAGAAGTATCCACACATCAGTGAAGGTGAATCAGAATCCTTCACAAAAAATTGGAATCCTTCATTTAGAGTTTCTAGCAACCCACAACACCTGCTACCAAGATGAAGGAGAGACTTTTTTTACGAGCTCCCATATATCCTGCCCTACCTAAATCATGGCTAATTTTGCTAGGCCCTCAGCCCCCAAGTAATCAAAGTAGAAGTGGACTTGGGAGTGATATTGAATAAAAGTCAGATGATTTAAACTTGAGTACAGTATTGCCCCTCACTGAATAAAAAGATTCAACCTTTCTGGGCCTCATTTCTTTTGTGTGTAAAATGAGAAAAACTAAGTCTTTACATAAGATAGTGAGAGTCAGACCATGCAGAGGCTAAAAGAACACTGATAGTACACATTGTTTGCACACAAGGATTTTTTTCTTTGTTTCATAAGTCAAAGAGTATATAACAACAAAATACTATAAATATCTATGACAGACCCATGTGACTCCCAAAAAGCCTTCCTTTTGAGTATTATTATTAACCTTGGTCAAGTCATTTTTCCTTTCTTTTTTTTCAACCTATAAGAGGATGGGTATTAATCACCAAGGTCACTTCCAACTTTGATATTTGTATTTTTGTGTCCCAGATCTAAAAACATCAAAACCAAGAGTTCTAAATGGTAGTTTGGGCCCTTCAAAGCAACCTCCTTCTGCTAAGGTGAATAATCACATTCCTAACATCCCTCCAATCACATAGGAAACCTAACATCTTATATAATTACAGTGGTTTCAACTATCCCCAAATCCAAGTGTTTGAGAAAAGAGAACCAGATTCTCTACCAAAACTGGGTGGATATCCTGTCTAGCAGGCAACCTGCTAAAAGTGAGGTGGTAGCATTCCTACACTTTTGTCCTGGGTTGTGCCAGATACATGAGATATGTAGGATATCATGACCTTTGAGGGACCTCTTAGCCCTGTGATGTCATGTGACTGCTTCACAAGAATCACTCGCAGGGTGCTTGCAGGCTCCCTGCCCCTCTGCATGGGTCTCTCTGCATCAGGCTCTCAAACACTAAACACGTCAACAGTGGCAGCTGTAACTTGACAGGGGGACTGGAGTGTGGTCCTGAAGCAGCTGTGCACCAGCTGAATGCTCTGCCAGTCCCTCTGGAACAGGGCTGACCCCGTTTCGAGGGGGGCCAGCCCTGACAGCTCAGGCCCCTAGGGCGCCGAGGTGCTGTAGCTGGGAATGATGGATCCATTCTCAAACAGAAAGGATAGAAGGGGGTCAGTTGCTCTAGTCAGAGAATCCACTATATAGACCACCTCCACGGGTCCCATTCCCTGAGCTCTGACAGTCTCAAAAACAGATGATAGATCAATCTACCTGTGCAAAACGGAGCCCAGTTGGCAGCCTTGAGATCTGTCATGATGCCAGTGGGATGAGTCACCGGCATGTTACAGTGAGATGAGCATGGGCAGTCTCCCAGTTCCTGTGTGATGGATGACTATTAATGGTTCATTTTGGGTCTCCAACTGGTCATACTCACTGCTGCCTTAGGGCTTCTGCACCAGCTGTTCCCTCTGGAAAGCGTTGGCCCTCAGTCTTGTACAGCTGGCTCCCTTCTGGCTCCCAAGTTTCATTTCAAATTTCACTTTTCCAGGTTTTCCATGGACACAACCTCCCTCAACTCTCTATCACAACACCCCATTCTGTATTTCTTAAAGAGTTTCTCATTATTTGAAGTGATCCTGTTCATTTCTTTTCATGTTTATTATCTATTTTCCCTTTTGTAATGCTAGCTCAATAAGAGCCAAGATCCCCTCCATCTTGACCAATCTATCCCCAGCACCCAAAAAAATATTGAGCAGATCATGACAAATCAATAAAAATCAGTACAATTAATGAGTTAATGAGTTAATTCTATCTAGGACAGGTGTGTAGTGGCACAGAGTTTCCCTCTCTCTGTGTTCTGCAGCAGCAGTGAAATGTCAAGAGTCCTGGGTGGTTTTGGTAGACATTTTTTAATATATTGCCATTTTAGGAGCCATTCCCTCTTCTTCTATTTCATTAAAGATCTGAGAATTACTCTCTGAGACATAGGAGTTGGCTTCTGGACTCATATTTTTACTACATGACTTTTTCACTTAGGAATGCTTTTGGTTGCAATTAAAAGCAATAACAGCAACCTATTAAAGTAACTGTGATTACGATGGTTATCATTTTTGTCAAATAAGAACTGATAAGGAGGTATGCAGTCCAGCATCAGTGTGGCAGCTCAACCACAAGGGCGCTGAGGCTCCTTCTCCTTTGGGCTCTCTATTTTTAGCACACAGCTTTCCTCTCGTGCTTGTCACATCACAGTCACACAATGGCTGCTGTACCTCCAGGCATCATGTCAACATTCCAGAGAAGAAGTGGACAAACCAAGGGAGAAAGTCATGCCAGATGAATGTGCTATTCCTTTTTATAAGGGAAACAAAACTTTCCCATAATTACATTCAGCCAACTTCTATCTACATCACCTACGTTATAACTGGGTCACATGGCCACCCCAGACACATTACTGACAAAAGGAAATGGGATTATTATAGCTGGTTTAGACTGCCACATTCATCCCTTGGGACTGAAGAAGGGATCTGTCTTCCTTCAGATCAAGCTATTGTCACACTCTCCTGAACAAATTGGGATTCTAATGGGAAAGACGAGAGAGAGAGAGAGATGGCTATTTGCTATGCCATAGCTAAATGGACTAGAGTAGACCTTTGACCTGAAATTGGACTGATAAAACTCTTTTTTAAGAATTATGTCTGAGACACACAGAAACTGAGAGTTAAAGGCAGACCCCCTTGAGCAGTCATGCTTCTGAACCTTAAGATTTGGCTATTTGTATTCTTTAAATTTCATCATATCCTTAAGTATCTTCCCCCAAAAGTATCATTTTTTCTTAAGCTAGTTCAAAGTAGTTTCTCTTGTTTAAAACCAAAGGCTCTTTGTTATAGGAGCATCTAGTTACCAACATTCTGTGTGGCCCAATCGGGCTGTGCTGCGTGGTTCTCTAGGGTGTCCGATCATCATTCACGCCTCCCTCAGGAATGACACAGACCTTCATACCAAACCTCTGCCCCTCCTGAGGTGACCCAAACACTGTAGACATTATGTCATCAGCCTGACAACATCCTCCTTCTCCTGCTCCTCTTCACCTTCAGACAGTGTTTGCTGAGGTCCCAAGTGTACTGAGAGGCCTCGGGGCACTAAAGGCCTGCATGGTGCTGAGGGTTGGAGGTTGCACAACAGCACCCACACTAACTAGTGGAACACTGGGACTGCTGAAATGTCACATCACAAATTCGTGATAAAGGCCAGAAACATATCACATCTTCTCATCATTAGCCCAATGCTTTTTCTTTTTCAAGCCATGCAATTATCCAAGTCAAACACACATGCACACTCACAAAAACAGTCATCTACACCCCCACAATGAGGAAAGACTATAATAGGTCAAAAGCCTGGCCAGCTTGGCTTAGGCTTCCCTCTCTGCTAACAGTCACAAGGAATAGTTGATAGCAAGTTACAAGGATTATCACTCATGTGTTCTACATGAATATTTCTACAGTTCTTTTGTTCTATCATCTCTGAACTTGATCTAAATCTTTTTTCAATGTATGTCTCTCTTCAACTTATACAAACTTTAGACAGGATTTCTCAAAATGTGTTGTTTGCATCTCACAAGTTTTGCATCAATAAATTGCACTATGATCAGATAACTTTTGGAAATGCCTGGTTAAACACCTGGTTAAAGTTCAATGGCTTCTTGATTGCTAGACACTGGCAATATGTATGGTGAATAACTGAGAGGAGAAGTATGTGGCATTTTCCAAATATGTTTAATTACTGAATTTTTTTCTTGACACATATTGAAAGGTTGATGATCTAAGAGATAGGCTTTGGAAGACACTGCCAGTGGGAAGGAGTACAGGGATGCATCCTAAAACCTACTACCTCCCTTAAATACTAGGGTATGAATTCTGTGACGTGGTTTAGTAGGTCATGTCCAAACTTATGTTTATTCCTGGTGAATACTGCTAGATAGTTAGGACTGTCTCTTAGCTCATGATATCTGAATTCTATATCACAGCTGCTATT